TTACCGTTAATAGAAAATAGGTAAATGGCAGATGTACAGGACCTTTTCCATCAGCCTGTATTATGGTTAGTTTGTTTGTATCTCTGGATGAGGGCCGTCCAGGTGAGAGATACTGTCTCTTAACTCTGGTTAGACTGAGGAGACAGTTGATTGTTTATTAGTTTGGGTTTTCTTGGTGGAAGTTGTCCCCCCACACAAGTCTCCCATCCTGGCCACAGCAGAGGTCGCTCCTTATCATCCTTCACCAACACTCAAGATATCCTTCAAGCCAAGACATGACGAGCGTAACGCGAATCCTCCTGAATCCTTCCCTTGGGATTAAATTCTTTAAAGGACTCTGACTCCACTACGTTTTTCTAATGTCGGGGACCAGATGCTAATTAATCCAGATGGTATATAACTAAAGAAATAATTATATAACTTATGTTTATTTAATGGATTATTTATGAGAATATATTAGCTTTAAAGATTATATTTAATCTACTTAACATATTTTTGTAATCAGTAATGAACAGCTGACGTATTATCGTAACAAATTATCGTATTCATGATAAAAAAATTTGAATTCTCAAAGTATCGTATATGCTACCTCCTCTTCCTCCTTCTCCTCCTATTTGTCCTCCTCCCATCCTCCCCCTTCCTCCTCCTCTCCCTCCTCCGCCTCCTCCTTCCTCCTCCTCTCCCTACTCCTCCTCCTCTTCCTACTCCTCCTCCTCCTCTCCATCTTCCCCCCTCCTCCCCCTCCTTCTCCCCCTCCTCCTCCTCCTCCTCGGGTCTAAACTTAATGGTCCTAATTATCAGCATGCCATTAATTAGCTTATTTACGGTACCAATTAACTTATGACATGACTTGACGTACATGGAACTAGTTAATCATTATGACTAATTTTTATCTATGACACTAATTAATCCAGGTACTAGGTAATTAAGTTACTAATTAGTCTAACGTTTAAAACACAAACTACTCACTTCCTGGATAGAAAACCACCTAATTTAACGCTAATGACCATAATTACCCAGATGTTGGATAAAACACAATGTTAATTAAGGTTTCTAATGGTCGTTATCTAGATTGTGGATATTTATAACTTAGAAGACTAATTAATTAAGTATTGGCTAATTATAAGTCACTGGATAACTCTTATAAAATTAATTACCGAGTTAAAAGATAAAATAATCCATCTTCGATACTAATTAAACCAATGATGGATAATTAGGACAGTAAATTATGCTTATGGCAGTACATAGACATTTATAATGCCCCAATAAGGGATAATTAGGACAGTAGACAAAGGTAATGACAGTAAGAACGTCATCAGTGGGAGCAGTTACGACCCTAATTGACGATTGTGACCGTAATTACCCGAGTGGAGATGTATTAAGCACGTGGTAATTACCCCCCTTCCCCCCATTTCTCTCTCTCCCCCATCCCCCCTCATCCCCACTCCTCTCCCCATCCCCTCACCCCTCCTCTCCCCCATCCCCTCACCCCCCTCCTCTCCCCATCCCCCTCACCCCATCTCTCCCCACATCCCCCCTCCCCCCCTCTTCCCCACTCCTCTCCCCCATCCCCTCCCCCTCCTCTCCCCATCCCCTCACCCCCACTCCTCTCCCCCATCCCCCCTCACCCTTGTATTAAAGAGACCAGCAGGACTCATTAGTTGTAGTTGAATGTGGGTGCGCCAAGTCCGTAGACTTGCTAGTGATAGATTAGTGAAGGTGTACAGTATTTTCGTTTATTAGTTATTTTACCTGTATCTTAATGCTTACCTTTAGAGTGTTAAAGTTACTGCAATTGTTAAATTAGATTAACTAAATTGGCATTAAATTGATTAGCATTCAAATTTCATAAAGACTTAGCTAAAAACTGACTTCCCTTCTTAGCATGGATATAATATCTAGATGATTAAATTTTTTCTCCTTTTCGTTCGCGATTTGATGTTTCGTATTGAATTTTTATTTTTTGTAGTTATGGAGAAAATTGGGATTGATATTTTGTGTTTGAAGATTTAAATTAGGGCGAGGGAGAGAGGGAGGGATGGGGAGATGGAGGGAGAGGGGGGGATGGAGGAAAGGATGGATGGATAAAGGGAAGGAGGAAGAAATGGAAAGGTGGAGGAAGGGACGGCTGGAGGGAGGGATGGAGAGGGGAAGGGAGGGAGAGTGAGGGACAGGGAAGGAGGGAAGGAGTATGAATATATGTGATGGAAGACAGGAATTGATGGAGAGTTGAGATGGCAGAGAGAGAGAGAGACGATAATGAATCAGTGAATCAAAGCAAAACCTCACTTGCTAAGATCTTCTCTGGGTGAGGCAATAACAAGACAATGATGAATTCACCATTTTGGAAAACACTGAGAGTAGACATCTCTGTTGGTAATGGCCACGAGGAGAGAGAATCTATAATTGCTAGTGGATCCTGCAGACTTATCGTGTGTGTGTGTGGTTAAAACGACTCTTACTTCTATGACCAGGGAACAGAGAGGTCATTTTGCCCTTCTCGAGTCTTAATTAATTAGGGATTGGAGTGTAACTTGGCTTAGTGACGAGAGATTAGGTCGGTTCCTTTGCTTCATTTGTCTCGTGATGGTTGAACTTACTCAGTGAAGCAATACTTGTACTCTCTCTTTGCTTCATTTGGGTTTAGATGGGTAACTTACTCAGTGAAGTAATACTTGTACAGGTTTTTGTGAGTGTGTGTGTGCCTGTGGTGGGAGGGGGAGGTAAGAGGTGATTAATTATGCTCTTTTAAAAAAACTAATTACTCTCACTCAGATCAAATACACAAGCTTAAAACAAAATTAATCACGTCAATTGAAAACTAATTACGACAATAGTGTGTGTCATTGTGTAATTCTTCTGTGTAATTTATATGGTAGATTCCGTGATAATATTTACAACTTGGTTTAATTATTAGCACTGTTCAAAGTTCTCTACTGTCGAATTACTGTTATCGTTTATAGGAGAGAAGGATGTACGGGAAATATAGATCCTGTAGGAGATGAGTCCTTGACCTTAAGGCTCCCCCTCCTGAACGTCACCATACCGGCGCGCCGTCAGGAGTATATCTGAGAGCCTCGACACCGTTTCCTTTGAGGTTCCCCCACGAGAGGAGAGGATCTGTAGGCAAAGATCTGCTGACGTCATTGCTCGAGGTTGGAATATTCACGGGTTGGCTCATAGGTGTCAGCCATGTGGGTTTGACGTCACGTATCACAAGGTGAGAACATATGCCATTATTCTCGCTGACACCAACTGTAGGAGCATCGAGGCTGCTATTATCCATAAACAACTTCGCTGTACTGGTCATGTTACCCGCATGGTCGACAGTAGACTGCCAAAGCAGCTACTTTTTACTGTCACCTAACAAATAGTAAACGTAACGCTGGCGGGCAACTGAAAAGGTATTAGGATAGTCTTAAGACAAACCTGAAAAAGTGACAACTCGATCCCCTCATCTGGGAGACGATTATTCCACACCGTAACGTTTGGAGGAGCACCACACGAGAAGGTTTCAATACTTTCCAGTTAGCCCGACTATAAACCGAGGCTGACAAGCGCCAACGCCGGAAAGACGCTGCTACCTCCCCTCCCGCACTAAATGCAAAATCTGTGAAAGACCCTGCCGGTCCCGTTTCGGCCTCTCGAGTCACCACTCAGAGCTCACAAACGAAGGTGACATCACTTAAACCTCATATCATTGTGTCATAGCTGGATGGTCGTCATACTCGATTCCGAAGGACAGCAAAGTAGTAGTGCGTATCTGTGTGTATATG